GTGCCTTATAAGTCCCGGCTCCCAGGGCAGCCGGCAGCCTCGCTGCATTCCAGCCGCCTCGCGTCAAGTGGCCTTAGCCGCATCTCGGTGGCCAGGGCCAAGGCTCTGTACTCCCCCCCCCTGCGGCTCTGGCAGCCCCCCCGGTGCCCGAGAGGCACCCTGCTGGGATGCTCTCCCATGGGAAGAGCCCACGTGCCTCAGCTGCTGGCACCCGAGGGCGGCTGCCTGGAGCAGGGACCGCCTTTGGGATGCTGTGGCAGAGCGTGCCCCTGTCCTCGGCAGGATGGTGCAGGGCTCCCTTCTGCTGGTGGCATAGGAAGAAGGCTCCGTGGGCTTACTGGTGTGAACAAGTGGGAGATGGCTTGTCTCCAGGAGAAAATGGCACGTAGCTGGGGGTGGCTCGGGGGGGGGGATCCAGTGGGACCGTGTGGATGAGGCACCAGAGCCTGCTCCTGCTGTAGCTGTCCTCAGGTGTTTCCTAAGCACTGCTGGTAAAGGCTCACGCGCTCCAGGTGCTGGGAGTGTGGCCCCAGGCCCTGGCTGATTTTGGGGGGGGGCCTGGAGTGGCCACAGCTGTGCAAAAGCAGGGCTGTGGGTAATGCAGCTAAAGGGCTGATCTTGCAGAAGGGGAGGGTCAGCCTTGCTGGCTTCTGGAAGGGTTCAGAGCAGCCTCTCAGCAAAAACCCAGCGCTGGAGACCTACCAGAGCAGCCTTGCTGGCGGTGGGTGCTCATGCCTTTGCATCTAACATTTCTGACATAACTTGACCCTTGCTGGGCTGCAGGGCAGGGTCTGGCTCCTCTTGGGACTTCCTTTCAAGGGCTCTTATTTAAAAGCAGAAACGGCCAGGAGATGTGGATGTTGTAAGACTCATGCTGACCTCCTGGCAGTGCTGGAGGTGTGGTAGGAAGAGGCAGGTGTTGCTGCTTGGCTTCTTAAAAATCTCTGTGCTAAGCACCTGGCTCTGCTCACACTAGGTGTGTGTCTCTTCTGGGAGACACAGCTGGGTAAGGGCTGATTTAGAGCCACTGAGGACTTGAGCACTAAATGGGTTTTGTCCTTGTCCCTCCCTCCTCCTGCGTGGGAAGCTATGCTGGGATCCTCCCTCTCGAAGAGATGGCCTAGATGGTCTTGTCCCTCCTGGCACAAATCCTGTTTTCCATGGCTCTCCTCCATCTCTGCCGGGTGTTTGGACAGGGGACATCCCCAGAGGGGGCAGGGACGGGGAAGGGAAAGCTTTTTCCACGGGGCCTCCAGCAGCGTGACCCCGCTGGGCTGGCCTAGGAAAGATATCTGCTCTCTGCCCCACTGCCCCACTTCTGTGTGTGCGTGTCCAGTGAAGGTCAGTCGGCCTGGGTGAGGTGGGGCTGCTCTCGCCCGGTATCTCCAGTGGCTGGTAGTGGAGTCTAAGAGGGAGCATAAGAACAAGGTATTTCTGGAGATCTGCTTCTGCTGTATCTTGTCCAAACACCTGCTGAATGTGCAGTTTGGCCCAGGCAGTTCCCAATCCAGCCCTGGATATGTGTTTTGTTGTTTTGGTTTTTTCCTTTTTTTTTTTTTTTTTTGTCCTGTGGCTTTTCCAGCTGCTCTGTGGGGAGGCTGAATATCTACGTGGATCTGGTGTTTGGTGACAGGGAGCTGAAGCAGGACAAATACATTTAAGCAGAAGCCTACCCTGTCTTGGCATATGAGTGCAAGGGCTGGAAGCCTGGATTCATCAGCCCTGGGTGGTCCTCAAGGCCTGCAGGGCTTGGCCTGCAAAGGGGTGACCGGGAAGTCCCAGTTCAGTTAATCCACTGGAAGAATGCTTGTCCAGACCCTGTTGCCCTCACCTACAGTTTCCTCTCCTTAGGAGTCAGGGGAAGAGGCTGGACCAGGGCTGCCCACAAAGCACAAGATGCTCAGACAAGTTGCCTCCTGCTTTTTTCCTCTGGGATAACCCAGGTCTCTTGCTTTCTGATTGCTGCTGATTTACACCTGGTCTTGGAAGTGATCTCCCTTTGGCTTAACCTCACTCTGCCCCTCAAATGTATCACTCGGGTCTCTCACCAGCCTCACCCTCCACTCCCTGAATAACTGGGTCTCGCTTTCCCCTTTCCCTTTTTTAGATCACTTACGGATGTGCTGAATTGCAGAGGTCTTGGAAAACCAACCAGTTGGTCTCATCACTTCTAACAAGCTCTTCTGAGCAGGGACCTTCCTTATTGTGCCTTGAGACCCTTGGGGAAACCTTGTTTGAAGATGTTGGCTGGTGGAATTTGGGATTGCCCAGGCATTCTTTGGAGCAACGCCAGCCCTTGGTGGGTGCTGTGGGTTGGCTGGGATCTGCTTTCCAATGCTGTGTATGGTGACAGACTGGACCTGGAGGCCAAGGGAAGCTTTTGGCCTGTGAGAGAAGGTCTCTTGCTCCTGTCCTTTGCAGCAACTTATGCGGCTGGCATTAGGAGCTTGTTACCTCTGACAAAGAGCTTTCCTAGGCACCTGCGTTGCTCTGCTCAGGCTGTTGTAAGGGCTCTGAGTAGCTGACTTCCCCTTCCCTGAGCAACCGCACATCCTCCATTCTGTCACGCCTGTCGCAAGGACTTACTGAGCGACACATCACGGGACCATTTAGAGGCCCAACAGGGATGCAGATTTCTATCTGCTTGGAAGAAACATCCATTCTGGGGTCTAAGCACACTCGGATCCTGAAATATTGAAAAGGGATGGTGCTTTCGCATGGCTGAGGCACACGTGTGCCACCATGCTCTGCACGGTCCTCCCCTGCAAGAGATGGCTGTGTGTCTTCTGGGAATGCACTGCAGGCGCTCCGCGTAGCTTATGCTGAAGTGCAAGCACCAAAGTCTTCAAGGCTGCCAGCAAGCCAAGAGGTGATGGTGCCATTGCCCACTCTGGGCATGAAGTGGCCCCAGAGTGATGCATTGAAGCACCAAATGAGGGGCTGGTCTGGGTGGGGAGACTACAGGACTGAGCCTGGGCGTGGGAAGTGTTTCTGGAGTGCTCGGGGTTGCTTTGCCCTGTCTAGGGAAGCAGGGTGCTAAAGCTGGCGTGTGAGGTAGGGCCGTCCATATGGAGGAATCAGGGGGTTGGATGGGAAGGATGCCAGTGTTGGAGGGAAGGTTGTTCAGTGGTTGCATTCTGCAGCGGTCTTGAGATATGCCAGGCGGGAGAAGGGCTCTGCACACTTAATGGGGTGGTGGCAGCCCTCTGGGGTGTTCACTGCGTGGTGGCAGCCACCCACACGCGTGGAGACCAAGAAGGGCAGAGGACCCCAAGACTTTCATGATCATTGTCCATCCTGGAGGGCTTCAGCTGCCCCCTGAATTGGTGTGAAGGGTATCTCTGCCCTGGCAGGGCTCTCTTGGGCACAGGAGCTCAAGGAGGTGTGTATGTTCTCTCATAAACAGGAAAAACTTCAGTGCTTGGAGGAGGCTGAATCTGGCTGCCCCCAAAGAGTTACAGGGTGCAGAGGCTCTGCTGTGTGCTCCCGTGTTTTTAGGTAGCTGCTGCCTCCAGACTGGGAGCAGGGCAAGGATGTGCTGCTCACTTTGGTGGCAAAAGAGGTTTAAGCAAGTGTCAGATACAACCCGTTTTGTCTGGGGAAGGGGAAATGGCTGAGCAAAAACTGAGACTTGGGAGCAGAGTGCTTCTGCCCTGGAAATATAATGGGGCCACTCCAGACTGGAAACGGGCCAGGAGATGGGCTTTGGTGTAAGGCTCCTGGTCCTGCTGCACGTTTTGCAGCTGAAAATCACCTGGCACCATTTAGTGTCATTCTGAGCATTTGGGCATCAGCGCTGTCCCGTGACCTTCTCGTGGCTTGCTTAGGGCTGGCTCGGTGGGTGGCATCCCCACGCAAGGAGGAGCAGGGAACACAAAGCTCCACCTCGTTCTGATGGTCTTCTGTCTTCCCTCGCCTGTCAGTGCTGGCCGAGCTGCGCTTGTGGTCTCCTGGTCCTTGTCAATGATGACTAGTGTCTTGGTGAACGTTGCTGCGCGTAACGTCCTTTTCCAGCTCTGTGCTAATTTACAAGAAGTCTTGGCAGCTTCGTCACGCTGCTTCCTATGGAAATAGGCTGCTGGCCAGTGGGTCCCAGCGCAGGCAGAAGGTGGCCACGGTGGTCTGACTGTTGGGAGGAGTTTTGCACGACCGTGAACCTTCAGCACCTTTTCTTCTTCCTGGCTATTCATGTGAACTATTATAGGTAATTTCAACATATGATATATTGAAGTTTTCCTCTGGTACTGTATTTTTGCTTGCACGTGCTGAGTGTGTTTGGACTTGGTACGCCACTTCTGCACATTGGAAAGAGCTGCAGCCCACTTAGTGCAGCACAGCTGGCTTTTGGCTGGGCACAATAGGACAAACACTGGGAGAGGTGGTTTGGGAGCAAATTCTGAAGGGTCTGATGTGTTGGTGAAGGGGCTGGGACAGACCCAAAAAAATCATCCTCTTGATGTTCTGGGGATTTTGCAGAAGTCAAAAGATGTGGGTATAGCAGTGAGGTATTTCTCAAAATTAAGGGCTGCCTTTGAATCAGTGGCTGAAGTGCCAGGATAGGCTAAGGAAAGGAGGTCTAGTGTATGGTATGTAGGAAGTGCTAGAGAGACAACTGAATTTTGTTGTCTCTTATGGACCTTTGATGTGTCAAACCGTGTTAGTGCTTTTGGCAGCGTATGTTCTTCTAGGAGTCTATTCAAGTTTTAGTCCTCAAGGGCCAGTCAGACTGGGGCTGGTGTCCATGTCCTAATAAAGCCAGACTATTCTGCTAAAGGCTGGATTTTTGTAAAGGTCTAAATCCTTTGGGGCAGGGAGGGAAGGTGTATTTTAGCCTGGACTAATGCTTCTCTAATGTAGGGAAGGGGGTAGTGCCTGCAAGGCCATCTTTGGTGCGAGGTGTCCTACTCTTGTAGCACCGAGCTTCTGAACTGTGCTGCTCCGTGCTCCCACTTTGGTACTAAGCATCTCCTTTCAGTAGACCTCGTTGATCTCTCTCCTAGGTACGGACGTTGTTTGTCAGTGGCCTTCCTGTGGATATCAAGCCCAGAGAGCTCTACCTACTCTTCCGGCCATTCAAGGTAAGAAGGTCTTCAAATTTGGTCTTTGGTGGGAAAGATGCTATCTTGTGGCCAACCTTGTAGCAAAGATCTGTCAGAGGGGAAGCAAAGATGAAGTGGGAGGGTAGGCCTTCTGTGAAAGTGTGGGGAACTGGTATGAAACCACTGGGGTAACCCATGGCTTGCGCTCAGCTGGGTACCACCCCCCCTGCCCTGCTCCCCGAGCCTGTTGTTGAAATCGTGCTGTCTCCAAGCTCAGTGAAGGCTCCTTGGTCAGCCCTGCTGCCCAGCTGGACCAGCTCTTCCTTGGGGATGTGTCCCGATCCCCTAACTGTCCATCCTTCGCTAGATCACCACGTAGGCTGTCCCTGGGGGAAGTGGGGTTTGTTTGTTTGCACTCTTCTAGCACAGGGTGCTCTGTGCTCTCTAGGCACTAGCCAGGCAGGGTGCTCATCTTAATAGCTTGATGAAGAGCTAGAAAATGGGATTTCTTCCCAAAGGGCCAGAATGGACTAGTGAAGATACCTGCTCTGCCCTTAGTCTAACCTCAGTCTTCTCTTTTGGTGGGAGAGGAGACAAGTGGTAGTGTAGCTACTCCTGCTGCAAACCCTGCCTTATGAAGGCTTTGTTGCTAGAGGAACTCCTGGAGCTGTCACGTCATGTCTTGGTTATAGCTTGGGTCCTTCAGGAACCTGACACTGACTTGCTTTCTTCCCTTCTGCAGGGTTATGAAGGGTCACTGATCAAGCTAACTTCAAAGCAGGTACCTCCTTCTTCCAGCTTGTGTATTTTTGGCTTCTGCTAGAAAACCAGACATGCGGGGAGGGGGGGGACAGGTACCATTTCACTCCGTAAATTACTGTCTGTGTTCAGCACCATGTATGCAGCAGGGTTCTGCTCGCCCCTACAGTCCTGGTGGCCCCAAGCTCTCAGCATGTGCTGAATGGTTCCATATCTTCTATTGCTGCCCAGGGCCATATGGGCCAGGTGAGACCCGTTGTTCAGCCTCAAACCCTGTGCTGCCAGAAACCTTCCCCAGTCCCACTCTAATCAAGGCAGTAGCTCCCCTTGTGAGCAAGGGCTACCCTTGTTGGGGGCTACTGGAGTGAGCCGTGCTCTCATGCGGAGGTGTGGGTAGGAGCAGACACGGAGCAGGAATCTTGGGCCAACAACCAACAACTCTTTAAGCTCTGCTTGAAGGCCCTCTGCACCTTTAAATGGTTCCTTCTGCTTGCTGTAAGCTGGCTGGGGCAGAGGGAGTGGCAGGGTAGTCTGAGGAGCTGGAAGAGGCTTCCAAACTGAAACGGGCGTTATTTCTTTCAGCCAGTTGGTTTTGTGACCTTTGACAGCCGGGCTGGTGCTGAAGCAGCAAAGAACGCCTTGAATGTGAGTACCTGACCTGAGGTGCTGGGAGGGCTGGGGCCCGTATGCCCTGCTGTAGCTAGACCTGGAGCTGGGGGCTAGAGTGATGCTTGGCATGTCTACAGCACAGGAAGGAAAGGTCAGGCTGTCTCAGCTGTGCCCAGGAGTATGGAAGCTAAATGGTCCTGCAGCATCCCACCAGCGAAGCAGGAGAGCTGTCTGAGGCTGAGATCAGCCTGAGCAGATGGATGCAAACTCTCCCATGCTTAGTGTAGGTGTAGCTTCTGACCACTGGAAGACTGCTCCAGGGCCTCTGAGGGTGTGGGGAAAGAACAGCTACTTCTCTCACGTTGGCATGTACCTCCTTGCTCAACAGCTGGCCTCTGATAACAGGATCCAGGTGGTGAATCCTGTTCCTTATCCATTAAGAGCTCGCCCTGTATGGGGAAGAGTGGTGGACCGAGACCCCTGCCCCTTGCTCAGATATGCATGGATTACCTATGTGTGTCGATGTGCGGTCAGAGTTACTCTTCAAGGAGCTTTTCTTCCTGCTGTCTTGCACTGAGGTGGGGGCTCATCCTAGCTTGACTGCTTCACTTGAGCTTGGCTTGGAGTATCTGGAGTGGGCAGGTCTTCTCTGGGGAACCACCACTTAGCAGACAGATGAGGGAGGTGTTGGGGGCATAGGTGGTTTCCAGGCGTATACGGGCATAACGCAATATCCAGTTGACATCCCGTAATGCTTTAATGAGGCACATGGAGCTCAGCTTGTGTTTAGCATCAGCTTTTTGAGGCCCTAGGTCAGGCTTACCGAGGTACATGGGTAGTGAAGCAGGCTCCATTGCAAAGCTGCTCTGTCGTGTGGCCGTAGGACTTGCTTGGTGCTAGTGGCCTTGTTAAAACCTCACTTACCAAATGCCCTGATGAAATGTGTGTGGCAGTTTAGCAGAGCAGGTCCTTGGCCTGGACTCTGGCCTGTCAGGACCTCTGCAGCCAGAAGGTACTTGCTTCGGAAAGGAAGGAAACCATCCTCCCTATGCTGCTGTTTCCATGGCAGGGCCAAGGTTGTCTGGTACAGGCTCTTTAGCACATTCACAGCATTTCCAAACTGCTGTAGCTCAAGAAAAAGACTTGAGGATGGTCAACGTGGTAGATACACCCCGAATGATCTCCATCTCCTTTGGGCCTGCAGAAGTTAGTGGGATCTAGGCAGCAAGACATGCTGATCTGGTTCTGCCCTGCTGTCGACCTTGCCTTGGGCGTTGGGGCATATGCTAGTGTCTCTGCCCAGGCTCCCAGGCTGGCAGCAGATGTAGCAGCAGCACAGATAGGAGCTCCAGTATAGATGGCAGTATCCCAGCTCCAGCAGACATATGTTTCCTGACCAGTGTTGGTAAGCCATCTGGTTACCATACTGGTTGGTAACCATACTGGTTGTCGACCTGCACATAAGGAGCACAACTGTGTCCCTCACGTTGGAAGCAGTGGTCCTAGGCCAGCTAAATACAGCAATACAAGCGTATGGGGAGCTTGAGTGTTGCAGTGAGGTGACAAAAATCTGGGCATGTGACAGCAGCGTGATGGCCTTGGTTTCTCCGTTGGGCTTTGCTCCATGAACAGACACAGCCTGTGCTTGGACTGGACACCTCAACTCTGAGAGATTCCTGTGCTTTATTCTGTGACAGGGCATCCGCTTTGACCCAGAGAACCCCCAGACCTTGCGGCTAGAGTTTGCTAAAGCCAACACAAAGATGGCCAAGAGCAAGCTGATGGCCACACCAAACCCCACCAATATCCACCCTGCCTTGGGCGCACACTTCATTGCACGGGACCCCTGTGAGTATGCTGGAAGGGACTTTGAGGTTGTGGCTGGCCCAACCCTGGGAATGCTGCCAGGGTGGAAAGGAAACCATACCCATGTATGGTCTGGCTGAAATCTGTCTGGAGAAGGAAGGCCAGCATATTAAGGTTGCAGCAGAATAGCAGGCATCTAGTAAGGCTTATGGCCAACACTAGAAGCGTTGGGAGAGCAGAGGTGGTTTTGGTAGTTTGAGTGATACTGTAAGTCCTTTAAACCATCCCTAGGTGCAAAGCAGAAAGGATGAGTCCTGTGCCATGCACCCTCAGCGTAGCCTGGTGTGGGGCAAGCAGCCCTGCTGAGGCTTGTTGGGCAGGCTGCAACGTCGGGCTGAGTGCCCCATCTTCTGTCCTGCCATCCCGTGGCACCAGCCCTGTGCTGTGTGTGTCAACCAGCCTGCCCGAAGCCTGTGTCGGGGGCTGAGCAGTGATGGAGCAGCATGTTCCTGGCCTCTCTTGGCTAGGCTGGGAGGCCAGAGGAGCAGCTGGTCACGGAGACGCTGCAGGGCTGCTCTATTTTATACCTCACCGAGATGGCAGCGCAAAGCTTTAGGTTGGGGTTGGAAATCCAGAGCCTGTCCCTGAAGCGGAGTGTTGGGAACAGCTACTGAGATGCTGTCACCTTGTCTCCTCCCGTCTAGATGACCTGACTGGAGCAGCTCTTATTCCAGCATCCCCAGAAGCGTGGGCTCCCTACCCACTGTACACCACGGAGCTAACCCCTGCCATCCCCCATGCCGCCTTCACGTACCCAGCGGCTGCCGCTGCGGCCGCTGCTCTTCACGCTCAGGTGAGTCGCTCCCCACCTCCTGTGCCAGGAACCGGGCTCTCCTCTCTTTCCCCCACCCCAGTGTTTGCTCCCGTGGGGCTCTGCTTGGCTGGTTCGACCCTGGCCTCCGCACCTTGGCTCTTGGGCAAAGCCTCCCCCTGGCTGAAGTGCACGGAGGGCCCCCCAGCCCCGAGCAAACCGCAGGGGAGAGGTCTACGTGGCTGAGTGCAGTCTGAGCTGGACGATGATTTCTGACCCTGCAGGTCCAGCCTGCTTCCCTGTGAGAGGCAGGCAGATGGGAGGACGTCAGGGCTCAATTTCTGCCTGGCTTTGCTGATCCCCATGGCCGGAGAACTGTGGTGTGGGGCTGCTGGGAGGAAGGGCTACCTGCCAGCAAGTAAAATAGCTATGAAATTCCCTCCTTGAAATCACAGCGAAGGCAACAGGTTTAGCTCGGTGCTGAAGCTGAGGGGGGTCAGCTGGCTCCCCCTTGGGCCAAGCGACTCAAATACTTCTGAAGCTGGAGGAGGATGTCCTGCAGGAGATGAGTGATCAGAGCCTTGCCACAGCGGGGATCTCTGATGGGACAGTGGTGTTAGCCACCCTGGACACAGGCTAGAGAGGGTCACTCTGTGTACAAGGCTCTGGAAACACCGGTGGTCGTGCAACCAGCTGCCTGTACTGGTCTGAAACGTGAATGCTTTTATGTACTGAGACCAATACCCCTGCTGAGCATGAAGCCCCTGAAAGCATGGAAATGCAAAGGGAAAGCCAAAACAGAGTAGTGTCCTAATTTCCAGGTTAAGGTGCTTGGTTTGGAGCACTTGTGCAGGAGAACCTGGAGCCCCTGTCCCTGCCCTGCTTGGCGTTACCAGCCAGCTGTGCTCTGCCTGCTTCGGTCTCTGTTCCTATAGCAGTGCCCCGAGGGACTAGGGCAGTGGGACTCTGGGCTTAGACCTCAGAGCATTGGGGCTTAACCTCAGCTCTCTGCCCAGCCAAGGGAGGGTGTTTAGCTCCACTCTTCCCTGCTTAAATTGAGAGGAAGAGCAGCTGTGTTCCCTCACCTTGTCCACCTGTCTGACGGTCAGCTCAGCCGGCCCTTTGGCATCCTCTTGCTTCCCAATAAGCATCTTGACTGTAACTGCCCAGCTTCAACCCAAGCTTGTTTCCCAAATGCAATCTGGAGCCAGTGGAGGGGATGCAAGCTCCTGGTCTATGTAGGCTTGTCTGTCCTGCCCCTCACACACCTGCAGGCTTCTGCTGCTTTTGCCCTTCTACCAGTGAGCTAGTGTTGGGCTGAAGCTCCTACACAGAAGGCAAGATGTGGGGCCCAGGGCAGGACCAGGCTCTGGCTCGTTCTTCCAAGGGCCTCCAGCGCCAGGCTGGTCCTTTACTGGAAGGGCTGTGCTTGCTGGTGTTCTCCAAAAGTTATTGATGGTGCCCACAACTACAGGAGCGTGCTCTGCTCCTGGGTAGCCCAGGAGAGCAGAGATGTCTTCCTTTCCCTGCCCCTTGTATTCAGGGTGGTGGAGCCAAAGGCTGTTGCTGGTTGAATTGCTCCTGGCAGAGAGGACCAGGAAAAAAAAACCCCTCTGGCCTGGCTGAGGCAGTTGAGGGGAGGTGAAACCATTACTGCAGTTCTTTCAAGGGTGATCATCAGTGACTGTATGGGGGACCCTGAGTGTAAGTGTTGGACACCAAAACTTTATGATGTGTGGTGGGGGAGAAAAACTCCTCTCTCCTAAACTGGAGGGTATCAAGGAGGCCTTCAGCCAGGTCTTCCTCCCTCTGAGCTCTTAGTTCTGCCCTCCAGTTGGCAAGCAACTAGCTTTCAAAGATGTCTTCTGGCCTAAAGACTGACGCTGAGGTTCCAGGGAGCATCCTGCATAGGTAGGACTCCCTGCCCAAGAAGGTCCGTAAGTGGTGCTGTGCCCCCGAGCCTTAGGGAGCCAGCGTAGCCCCTCCAGGCCCACGGCCATGGCTGGACCCAGCTCTCTTCCCATGCAGCTGGGCTGGCCAAGCAGTTACAGCTGCGTTGTGCTTGAGCCGGTGGTGACCTCGCAGGGAGACATTCTGGCGCAGTATATGTTACCCATAAAGTTTTATGAGGTTAAACATTACTCAGGCTGGCAGCTCCAAGCTGCCCAGTCTCTAGGCTGGAGCCCTCTCCCTTGGAGAGCCGAAGCTGGGCGGAGCGAGTCAGTGAGATGACTTTTGCTCACAAACTGGGCTAAAAGCTACAACCTTAGTCTTGGTGTGCTGAGCCCTCTGCTCTCACTGGTAGGGCCTGATTCACCTTGCTGGGGGGGGGTGGTGGGCACGTGGGTCGTTCTCCAGGACAGCTGCGAGTCTTCCTCCTGAGACTGATGTTGGCTGGAGGATGTTCGTGGGAATGGCCAGAGCTGTAGCAGCTCCATAGCAATCAGTCCTGAGGCGGGCATGAAGTTGGAGGCCGTAGCTAACCTGAGCTTGTCGCAGAAGCTTTAAACCTGAAGTGCTAGTCCTCTCGCAGCCCTGTGTCCAAGGCCGGTAGCAAGCAAGGGAGGAGGTGGCCGTCCTCTGCGATGCGCCTAGGCAACCTCCTGAAGAGCTGCCCGGAGGGCTGGCAGGAGATGGTGTGGGGCTGGCCTCTGCTCGTGTGCTGGGAGCCATCGGTGAGCTGCTCGCAGACGGGGCTGGTGGCTGCTGCTCCCAGCCCCGCCGTGGCCGTGGTGGTGCTCCCGGCAGGCACCGGGCTGCCGTAGATGTGACTGTGACCCTGCACTGCTACGAGTCTCTACCTGTGGGGGACTCCCCTGACTTTAAGATTGTCCCATCTGCCTTCCCTCCCTTCCACCCTCTCTCAAATCCCTCCTTTGATGTCCCTAGTGAACTCCAGCCATGATGCCAGCGCAGGCTAGCCCTGAAGCTCAGAGCTGTCCCTGGAGATGGGACGCCCTAGTGATGCCTTATTGCAGCTAGTGGAGTGGCTGTACTACAGCTCCATTCCTAGAAGTGTTAAGCATGATGGCAGCCACGTCTGGAAAGACTGGTAAGGTAACCATCTCTCCTCCAAGGTGCACCATGGGATTTGCAAGCTTCTGCCCATCTCTGTAGCCCGTATCTCCTTGGCAACCCAGTGCATGGGCCTCACGCTACCCACCCACCAGAGCCTGGGGAATGAGATACCAGGCCTTCTTTCTAACCCACATCTCCAACCTGGCAGCACATGACATGGCGCACACAGCATGGCACCATCTTACATCAGCTCCTCCCAGCTGAGCCAGGCTCAGCCGAGTCCTGCTGGTGGGAGGGGAGCAGCCTGGTTGAGCCAGGGCAGAGGCAACCCTGCCGCTCGGCGTGAAAGAAACCTGGTTTCTCCCCAACCACGACCCTTCAAGGGCAACCAGAAATACACCTTGACCTCACTCCTGGCACACGGTGGGGGAGGTGAGTGACGTGATAGTGATAGCACACGACTAAATTCTAGTGGGCACCTTAGACAACAGCACTTGCCGGTCACTTTGTTCCAGAATTGCATACCGGGACAGACCCTGCCCTTAATCATGGGTCTAATCTCACCTCTTTCCTCTCCAGTTACTGGAAACAGAGCAAGTTCCTACCTGGAGCTTGGCTTCTCTTGCAACCTGAAATCACAGGCAGGACACAGGTCTTGTGAGCCATAACAAAGGGAATTGGCAGCCTGGGAGAGGTGGGAGCGGTGTAAGAAACTGGGAGCTTGGGAAAAGGGAAGGTGGCCTGGCCTGGGACTGGTTGGCAGGGAGGATGGTTGCTGTGGTCAGCTCTAGCTGAAGGAACCAAGTCCTGGCTCACCTCTTGCAGTGGTTCTGGGTAGACTTTTTTTTCCCTCTGTGGTAGTGATGTTGGGGAAAGAGGCAAGGATGAGGGCCCAGGTCTGCCTTTGCCCTTGGAAGACTGCGAGGGGCAAAGATGTGCAGATTTGGTCTCTTGGGAAGATGGAGAGAGCTGGACACAAATAATGATACAACTTGTCTTGTTCTGCTTGGACTTGGTGAACAGCCTGTGTGATGGAGTTGGGCTGTATTGCATCTCTGATGGGAAACCACTTGTTTTGGAGTGCCTCTAACCCAGGCTCTGAGTGGGCAGTAGGAGACCCCAGGGGCTATCAGTGCTCCTGGAGCTTTCTGCAAAGAGATGCTTCCAGCTGTGGTGGCACCCCTGCGGGCAGGACTTGACCTGGAAAGCAGGGGCTGGATGCAGGATTGTTTCATAAGAACATGGGTGAAGCTGGTGGTAGTTACCACGTGGTGCTTGTAGGAGAGTAGGCTAATGTGTCGAGTAGATGCTTCCAAGGCAGGGAGCAGGTCGTGGACTGAAAGCTCGCAGATACCAGTCCTTTCAGGGCTGAGCTGCTCAAGGTGGACTCGGAGCATCCAGGTTGCTGCTGCTAGCAGCAGCCTTGTCTGGACTCTTCGAGGAGATGGTGGAGGTGGGCCTCTGAAGCTGGGACCTGTCCAAGCGAGTGGTGGGTGGAAGGAGCAGCCCTAGATCATGGCTATGTGGTGATACAAGAGCCCAGCAGGACCCTGAGGCTTCCCAGCACTGAGTTGATGCAGAGCCCATTGATGGAAAGAGAGGTCAGTGCTCCAAAAAAACCTTTCCCTCTTGTTTGCTGCCTGGGCTGGCTCAGAGGAAGCTGGACCTCCTGAGAGGTGGCTGCTGTTGTGGGTGGACATAAGGCAGTGGCTGTGATCTGATGCTGGCCTTAGAGATGTGGGAGCATGGGGAAGATCTGCTGGGGTGGGCTCAGGTGCTGTGTCCTTCCTCCTGTTGGGATGCTGCTGTTTGGGCCTGTCACCACCTGGGTGCCACCAGCCTGGCTGAGCCCTGGAGCACAAAGCAATGGCCACCATGGTGGATCTACTGGACAGTGGGGATCCTGCCTTTGTGCACCACTGACCTCTGGATTCACTTCATGGTCCCATCTGCAAATTTTCCTGAACTTCATGTTGTGGCATCTAAGCTCTGATAGACCCTTCCTGGGATGGGAGGCTGGAGAG